ATATATACATTTTTTTTAAATTCTGTAATTAATTATTAATGCAAGAATTGGTTTTGAAACAATACGCAAATAAACGTAAAAGAATGAAAATAAAACAGAAAGTTGGCTATTTAGGCAAAATGCAACTTTATGATAGGCTATAGCTTATAATAGCCTACAACAGAACATTTAGGCTAAAGATGAAATGTCAGACAAAAGATAACACAGAAACGTTTGCAGTACCTACCTTTCGAAAACATTCCGACAGAACTGAGAAACATGCATCAAAAAAACAATGCTCATAATCCGTGAAGCTTTTCAGCATGACTGGTCCGAACTGATGCATTTCACCATAATATCCTGCGCGAGCTTACAAACCGCTTCATATGCCATCATAAGTTTCCATTTTCTTCTTCTTTTGCCCGTCTATGTCCAGTGTATATACTGAACGGTCTCGCAGGTTGAAGTGGACGCAGTTGAGAAATGCTGCATCAGTGTGTGATGTGTTGGGTGAGCTGGGTTGTGCAACACAGGTCAGTAACGACTCAAATATTTTCAAAGATAGGACATGTACAGTAGCCTACTGAACAAAGGGCTCCAGGGCTGTGATTCCTGTCTTCACCAAACTTACTGAAAGAGTTACTGATTTGAACTAGATTAAGTGTCTTAATAAGATACATTTTCTTTGTGCTTATTCTGCAAAAATAAATAGAGACCCCATGTCCCAATTAGCCTGCATTTACCCTATGAATAAGCTCATAGGCGTAATTTGCGGGTGGGACGGGTGGGACATGTCCCCACCACAAGCTAATTTTGAAGATCTGTATTTTTTTCATTCAAATTATTTTAAAGTATTCCTATGGTTTTATCAAAACTTAACCTGCCTGTTATATTGACCGGCCTGTAGAAAAGTGATTGTTATTCTATATTGTCCTATTTGGGATTAAAATGACCTAGAAAGGAAACTAAATAAATTAATAAAAAAAGGCAGGAGCGTATTGCTTTGTGTACACCAAACAGAGGATGTTATTGAAAATTCATTGCATTTTACGGTATCTAGGAAACACAAGTAGGCTAATATAACATTTTTTCATAGAGCACATTGGAAGCATGATATACAATTTAATTAATGTTAATTTTAAGTTTATTGAGAAAAAAAAACTCTAGTGACTCTAGTCTTCCAGAAATGTTGTAATATTAAGCAAAAAAGTTTGTGTAAGCAATAATAAACAGCAACTTTAAATAAGAAGTTTCTATTTTTTTTCTTGACCTTTTCATTTTCAAACATGTATCTGCAGGTTAGGCTACATCATTGTTTGCCAATAGGTGGCGACAAATGAATGTCGTTATGAGTGAGTCATTGAATCATTCATTTAAACGATTTGTTTATTCAAGAACAAGTGAATGAGTCATTAAATAAAATGCCACGGTTTGACGCGACGGCGGGAACTATTTCACTGGCGAAGCAAAAACAAACAAACTGGCAATATTGTGTCTAAAATGTAAGTTGCTCTATATTAACTTATTTTTCATTTAACTCTTGATATAATCATGATCATGATATAATCGCACTGTTTTTCTGAATATCAGCGGGGGTCATCACCTGAGGCAACATCAGCATTCTTGCTCGTTATTGCTTTATGTGCTTCAAGCGAGGTTTTAAATATCGTAATTTCAAATTTCAAGTAAATTAATGGCCAAACAACGTCGTATTTACAAGTGGAAGACTCTGAGTTAATCGCTGAGCCTGAAACTGTGCGTGAGAAGAGTACGTTCTCACTGCTGTGTGTGTGTGTGCACTTGGGCCCTGTCCCAAATGGCACACTTCATGTGCACTTTCGGTCTTGCGGACTTACAATGGCCACTGCGTGCATGTGTCCGTTAAGTCCACGAGACCGTAGGGTGTCCCATTCGTCATTTTAGCGTTCAGAAGGGTGCTCGCAAGCTTACGTGCAGGAAAGCACGCGCATACAGTAGCCAAGTTTCCATTCAGTTGTGAGCTGTTTTGTTATCGACAAAGAGAATATGCGTAAAAAAAAACTTTGCGAAATTTGCTGTGTCCAGTCTGTTTCCATCCAACTGGCCTTTTACCGATAAAATGGTGTGCGTGATGACGTCATCCCTAAAAAAACGAATTGTCGCATAAGTTTTGGTGTACTGCAAGAAAAATTGCCCTTGAGCTGTTTCCATACATAATTTCACCTATTGCACAAATTATATAGGCTAGTAGCCTTTCTGTTCCTCATCCTTTTGAAGCAAAACTTTATTATATAGGCTATTATTAAATTGTATACATAAAATGATTTTTATTAACAAGTGTCATGAGTTTTTTTTTTGTACTTTATGTAGACTACTTAGAGCAATACTACTTGATCCTCAAGCAATATTCATAAACGGGTGCAGTTGTATTATTATTATTTTTATTTTTTTTTAAACATTTATTAGACTGTATTGAAAATAGGGATGTTCATTTCGGGTATTTCTCCTAACCGGAAACCTATGCTCTTTAAGCGATTATTAACCGTTAACCGACAAGATTATATTACATTAGAAGTAAATTAAATTAGAATCAATACGTGGCTGTGACCCATTAAAAATACCAAAATGTGTATATATATATAAAAGGAATAAATAGGCCTATGTGCAAAATATATTTTTTACTTAAGTAATAAATTAACAAAAAAGGAAAAAAAAAACTGTGCAACAAGTAGTAGCCTATATGCTACTTTCGTTTCAGTTTCGGTTCATTTTTGTGATGCACTCCAGAAACAACTTAAGAAAGCAGCATCCTGTGTGTTTCCTTTTGTTATTTATTTATTTATTTATTTATTTTTTTACAAAAGCACAATGTTTTGTTTTTATTGTGAATGTACACAAATAAAATAAATATTTATTATAATTTTATTTGTCCCTACCACTTTTTGAAAGTAATTGAAAAAATATATTGCGGAAGGTAGGCTATGTATTAAAGGGAAAACAAGATCAACAAATCATTCTTCATAATCTAATTAGGATGATAAAAAAAAAACAAATTTGACTCCTTATGCATGCATAACTCGTGCAGTGCAATGACTACGTGATTTGCAGCTGTCGCACTTTTCGTAATGTCATTAGGCTATAGCATTTTATTT